ATAGAAAAGTGTCATGCTTAAATCAGTTATTCTAAACCATAGTTAAAAGATTATTTTCCTTATCTTTGTAATGAGTAATGTTTCATGGTCTTAAGGTTTAAATTCAAGGAAGTGAATTAAATCTTTGAGTCTGACCTTCTGTGTAAGAACAGTCATCATATTTTTTTTTTTTCCTAAAATATTACTTATATTAAGCTCTGTGAGTTTAATTAGATGAAGGCATTTTAGTCCTCAGAAGTTTACAGCTTACCCCCAAGAGAGGCCAGGAGATATCAATGTTAGCCGTGTCCGAGACTCTTTGATTTAGTGTGATAAGCTCACAGGGTACGTGAGAAATAAAATAGTCTTTAGATGATGATTATTTGCTATTTATGTACCACTCAGCCAATGTCTAATTCTTCAGAGAAAGGCAAAAAGCCCAGAATATGCATGGCCAGTTGTATACTGGAAAATACCTTTTGAATCCCTCCTGAATCCTTAAATTGCGATTTAATAAATCAATGACTTGGTAAAAAACTATAAACTTCAGCATACAGATGGTAATGTAGATTTTTCCTTCCTTTCCCATGAAAATAAGAGACACTAGTAGACTATCATTGCTGCCAAGCCCAGCTTCCTGCACGCAGGACTGTTTGGTTGTTTTTGTCCTCCCTACTATCCCTAAATACTGAATTCTAGATACTCTAAGTGATGAACAGCGATTAAGTTCTGTGAGGAAAGAATAAACTTATTTGAAGTTTCTTGTCTCTGGCTTCCATAAACTGGAAGCCAAAAACTCTGTTTTGCTTTGTCAGAGAATGTGTACAACTTACTAATGGATATCTTTTCTGTGCACTTACTGACATCGGGCAAGTCACCTCTCCATCTTCTCTTTGAGGAGCTGAGTAAAAAGCAGTTACTTAATTTTCATGTTAAAAGCTCTGATACGAAGCTTCTAGAGTTTTTGTTTTCTGGAATGTTTTTCTCTCTCAATTGTGCTCTGCTGTTTGCACTTTTTTTTTTCCCAAATGTGGAAAACAAATCTTGTCGCAGTAATCTCGAACAGTCTCGCCAATACAGTCTAGATTGCAAGATGACTTAATTCTGTATATTGCTCTCCATTGCAACAGTGCTTCTGCCAAAGTGTAGTACAGAAAGATCATGTTGAAATGATTATCTGTGACAACCTCTAAATCCTTCTTAAAGGCACTGCTTGCCAAGATATTTCCTATCCTGTACACACTGCCTGCATTGTTTGTTGTCACATTAATTGCTTGCATTTGCCTGTATTAAAATATGCTTTTTTTTTGACAAATGATTTAACAAGCTGTTATTGTTACGATCCCCACCAATTTTTGTCTTGTCCACAAACCACACTGGTGGAGCTACATCACTGTCTAAAGATCATTAATGCGAACAAATAGGTTTGAAATTGATCCCTGCTAGAAGTGGGTCTGTCTTCTGATGTCTTTGTATCAACAACTACAGTTGAGATCTGTTAGAAGGCCCATCTTAATCTGTCCAGTCTCTTCATGTAATATATTTGTCAAGAAAGATGTCTTGTGGTGGGAAGTTAAATACACTGAAAAAATCTGAGCATTTATATATCATAATAATGTAGCATAATGTATCACTTAATCTGAGAGTCCCATAATACTCTAAAACAAAGTAAAGCTGGAAATGGGGCAGACAAAACCATTTTTTTATGAAACTATAATAAATTATTCTAGTGATACTTTTCCTTCTAATTCTCTGTTAGAGTTGCATAGTATTTTATCCAGTATTGCTGCTAGGATGAGGTGTTCCTTCAAAAAGCCATCCCTTTTCTGACATTCAGAAATATCTCAATTGTTTTAAGTTTTCTTAAACTAAATGAAAAAGAGCTAGTACTAACAGCTCAGGACTGGCAGTTAATGATAGTGCTGACTGATGAATTTTTTTTGTTAGTAGGTCTTCAAAGTTACAAATACACATATGACATGGTGGTGGTTTACTTTGTCCGTATGAAGTTTAACAGGCTGTGATCATTGCAGTGATCCAAACTGAATTTTTAGGTATGCTGTCTGCCACTCTTCTAGCTGCTTTCCCTTATGAGATTACTGTGAGTATCTGTAAAGTGTACAAAGTAACAGTCTTTGTGCATAAATTTCAGTAAAAGTTCAAAGTATGCCAATCAGAATGTGCACCCATTGCTGTGACAAGGGACACCTTTTGGTGTGTTTTTGACATGTTTTGAAGGTTCCCTTCTCTAATGAATGACAAACTGACTTTAGTTTTCTTCTGAGGATCTGCAGATTTCTTCTAAAGTTGTCATTATACATACAGTTCCTGCCAAACATACGGAAATGTAGGAACTGACTGCCTCATCTGGTCTCCTGCCCTGTTTTTGACACTGTCAGCAGGAGACTTTTCAGAGGAAGTTTGGGGAAACCCTGGTGGATAATTACGGGAAGACTCATTCTGTTATTAATTTGCTTATTTAGTAAGGCACCATAAATTGCATTTAGCCTCACACACACAAAGGAAATGAGCCTTTAACTATTAATATTGTTCTGATTTAATTAACTGTTAAAGCAAAGCTTTTCTCTGCAGCTTGTACTGTGTTAGTAAAGACCCCTTCCGTAATTGTGATTTTTGTTTTGTTTTGTTTTCCCACACAACTCCTCCCTGGCATGTTGCTGTGTCTGAGGGGATGTAATTTTCTGTTGTGTTTTTGCCAGTGCTTGGCTCAACAGGCTACCTGCACAGCACAAGCACTTGAGTTGTTGTGGAGTGTGTCAGGGTTAGTGGAGCAGGATGGCTTTGTCCTGACTGCACTCCCACTCCTTAGCGCTTGAACTGCAAGGCAGGTCTGTGCTAGGACAATAATTTGGGCTTGAAGTACCGCTCAACCTAAGCTAGATGTCTTTTGGTGGTTGGAAGTCACCCAGCACTACAGTTCTGTTGTGTTACTTGATAATATTTTGAAAAATACCGCAACAGGAAAGAAAGAAGGGAGAGATGTACAAAGACCTGTTTCTGTGATTCTAGAAAAATTAAACCTAATTTAATTTCAGTAATCTTTATTGAAAGTCGGCTTTTCCTCTTGGATGTGTAACAACAGATACTGAAATGCTGCTAATGAACATTTCCCCTAATCTGTATCATCTTAACTAGGCAAGGATCAAGTCTTTTTCCTGTTAATAAGAGATGATATAGTAGGAAAGAGTCTGATTATTCCCAGCCACAATTCCTGCATAGCCAGCTGAACACTGCATTGTCATCTCCCTAGGATGGTCCATTGTTAAGCATATGCCTTGCATGATGAGATTCACCCCAAATTCTTTTGTGACAGTTGACAATAATACGCTTTGTAACAGTCATATCAGAAAATGGATTATATATCACACTTGTTTTTAAATTTAAAGATTTTTGAGGCTGGCAATAGTGTACCTGTAATGTAGTACAATGGTAAGCATAAGTATCAATTGATTCTGTTGCTATTGCACCCTAGAAAGTTGGGCTGAGTTTCCTAGAGGGTCAAATTTTTAACTCTGTAGGGACAAAATTTAAGTGTATCTTGGAGTATCAAAACCTGAAAAGAATGGAAGGAAACAGAAGAACAAGCTATCAATGCTCTGAACTTTTCACTCAATTAATTTTGTTCCAAAGTTGTCTTCCAACAGATGAACCATTTCTTCTAATCCCTATATACAATTTATAGTGTACAGTGAGCACACAGATTACCATCATGGGATGCTGTAAGCCTACAGTCCTGTTTTAAGCTGGAGCTTTATATCTGCACTTTAAGCTGAGTCCAGACCAAAGCATTTATAGATTCTTTCAGGAGTGCCAGATGTTTAACAAATTTAACACATGATTACAAATGGAAGTTAATTTGGAAAAAACAAAAATACTAATACACTTATACCACTCCACAATGACACACTTTTTTTCTTTAGTGTTATCAGAGGAGTCAAGTTGGGCCCCATCTTCCCCTAGATGCTATGGAGGGGCATATGCATTGCAAGGAGCCAAGAGGGTATGCCTGTAACATACTGACACCATTAGCTTCATAAATCTCATTGAAAGTTTTTCTGCATTTCTCAGTACTGCATTCTCTCCTTCTCAGTTACTTGGAAGGATGAGCTTAATTTGATAAGAATTTCCTTGTACGTGTACTCTGTTAATTATTCTGCACATATTCAACCAGGAATAATGTCATGTTTCTATGAAAGCTCCGTGCAAATTCTGTATTTTACAATGCACAGCTGGTGATCTTCTTTCTGACACTGTAAAATGCATGTTCACGAGGAAATGAGAGTCTGAGCATACGAACATTACAATGACAACTGCTTAGGTAGGGTGTTTAATTGCACTGAATAAAACTTCAGCTGATATTAATATTAAAAGGAGGATAAAGCAACTAGTTTTCCTTTATAAATGCAAGTATTTAAGTCAGAAGTAAACTGCTAATGGTCAAAAGCAAAACATTAAAATGTAGTGACACAATATAGACAGTATGTTCTTAAACAGGCAGTAAATGAAGTCACTTAGCTATCCCATCTGGATATTAACCATGTGGCATTGCCAGGTGCAACTCCTTAGTTCACTAACATCTGATGGGCCAGATGTTGCAACTGGAAGAATTCTTTCCACTGCTCTGCACCTCGAAGCAGAAGGGTGTGATGTACCATGGGGATTGTACCTTCTGCACCTTGTTGCACAACGTTTTTCCCCAGCATTTTTTTTTCTTGGGGAAAAAAAGTAAAATCATATAAACCAGGAAATATTTAGGAAATAAAGCACGTTTAATAAAACCAAGATACTGTTAGTCTAGAAGTATTAGATTTTGGTTATGAAATTGTTAAAATTCTTTCATAATATAAGTTTGAGGAATATTTCCTTTTAAAAAGCTACTAAACTTTTAGTGAAAAATGGATCGTATTGTGGAAGAGTTTGTAACCGGTTCTCCTAAACACTAACTATTGAAGAACTATGTGCTAGATTCTAACTTTCTCTTTTTTGCAGATGGCCCTGTGTCAGTTGGGATGAGTCTGGATATTGCAAGCATTGATACAATATCAGAAATAAATATGGTATTGTAGCTTTTGCATTCTTTTTTGTTTTGCTTGTGGATAAGCTGATGTCTTGTGTTTACAGGTGCTGGCCATGTGAATTTGAGGCTTTTCTTCATGTGCGGTCAATGTGTGTTAGGAGAAGGAATTTTATTTTTCATTGTAGGTAGTGGCTATAGTACTATAATAAGTATAGAAATGTAGATGCATATCACATCTCTCGCAGATACAAAAAGAAATTTGCTACTGAGTATTGATCTTAATGAAAGGCGTATAGAGCAGTATTTATTTTCCAGATGAAACATCTAAATCTTTACGCGTTTCACAGAATTAAAGATATATTTATGTTGCTTTGAAGCCACTCT